ATCTGTTTATCCCAGATTGTCTGGCAGTATCGACTCATATAATCCTGTTCAAAGCAGATAATCTGAGATCAGATCCTGGAATATAGAGGGTAGCGTAGAGCCAACCTTAGTCTATGTTTAGTCTTTTCTCAAAAGATTAACTTTCTAATAGCAAAACAACTCTGCCCAGGCTCTGAGATCTTCATGAGAGACCTATTTCTCAGGCTCTGAGAGAGGCCCCTCTCGCAGTCCCACCAACATCCCAACCTCAGTTGGTGGGAACTCAAAAGAAAGGCCTCTGAGGCTGCCAGTCAATTCTGGAAGTCCCTTCTTCCTGGAGAAGCCAGAATTGCCTCTTCCCTCTTGTCCTTCTGATAGCATGCTAAAAACATTTTATTCAGGCAGGCCTCAGTAGGGTTGTTGTTGTTGTTGTTGTTGTTGTTGTTGTTGTTGTGCCTTCAAAACATTTCAGATTTTGGTCTAAAAGTTAGGGTGCAAGTCAGGGAAATAACCAGGAGGGCTACATCTGGTCTGTGGGCCTTAATTTGAGGACCCCTGTCCTAGGACCCCTTCTGCACTGCCATATAAAAATCATGGACAAGTTGAACATGAGCAAACACCTGGACTACTGTGTCTAATTCTGGGCACCACAGTTCAAAAAAGATTGTGACCAGAGGAAGGTGACTAAAATGATCAAAGGTCTGGAGACCATGAATCCCTATGAGGAGTGTCTTAAAGAACTGGGTGTGTTTATCCTGCAGAAGAGAAGGTTGAGAGGTGACATGATAGCCATGTATAATTATGTGAAAGGATGTTATAAGGAAGAGGAAGCAGGTTTGTTTTCTGCTGCCCATGAAAGTAGGACTAGGAGCCATGGGTTCAAATTACAAGAAAGGAGATTCAACCTGAACATTAAGAAGAACTTCCTGATTGTATGAGCTGTTCAGCTGTGGAACTCTCTGCCTTGGAGTGTAGTGGAAGTTCTTTCCTTGGAAACTTTTAAACAAAGGCTGAATGTCCATCTGTCAGCGATACTCTGATTGTGCTTTTCATGCAAGGCAGGGGGTTGGAGTAGGTGGCCCATGTGATCTCTTCCAACTCTATTATTCTATGATAGCATAAACATGTGCAAAATCTGAAGGCTGGTTTATTAGGCAGGCCTTTTTATTTGAGCAAAAGCTTTGGGTTGCTTAATTGATTTATTGACAAAAGCTTATACTCCTGCAGAGAGCAGAGTGTGTGAGGGAGATGCACATGAACGATTCCATTTAAGTTGTGCATGTTGTGAGTGATCTGAGGACACCCTGAGTGTGTTTCCTTGTCATTGTGCATTTGGGATTTTGTTGTTCTTTTCTGTTGTCATTGGCAACCTAATCGCGGAATCTGCTTTCCTTTGTGACTTTTAAAGTGTCTGTAATTCTCCTCAAATTCCCAATTTCTTCCTGATTCACTAATGACCGATGCACTTAATGAGTCAGAAGCTTTCTTCTAATCAGTGGCATCAATGCACAGCAGCAACTTGTACTGCTTGCAATAATTCATGACCAACTGGAAAAGTGTCTGAATTGCTTTTCCTCCTGCCTTGAAATGATAGATTTGACCCTTGAGGTTCAGCAATACAGTCTGAAGGTGAATCTACACTGTAGAATTAATGCAGTTTGACAATGCGTTTACTGCCATGGCTCAATGCTGTGAAATCATGAAGTTGTAGCTTTACAAGGTCTTTAGCTTTTTTCTGCCAAAGGGTGCTGGTGTCTCAGCAAACTGCAAATTCCATATCATTGGACCAGACATGGTAACCATCTTCATAGGATTTTGCTTGAGAACGTCCCATGGGGCCTTCAAAATGGTGATTATCTTGAGCAGGAAATAGACAGTTCTCTTACTCCTCTCACCATTGTACCTAAAGCAATGGGAATCTAATAAAATATGTAAAATCCTTATGGGGAAGCAGCTATTGCAGTCTATGGGGGTTTGTGCCTGTCGATCAGGAAGCATCTGAGTGACATTCCCATTCCTCCTTGTATATGACATAAGGAAAAACTTTGACAGAGGCCCTGCTTATGCTTGTTGCACCGGAGATTGGGGTGAGAATGTCACCTCCTTCCAGAGTGATGGGAACAGGCCCATTTGTCGCAGTGGCTGCCTTTTGGTAATCTTTTGTGGGTTTGAATTGGGATTCACTGTAAATCCCATGCTGGATTCTGGCCATTCATTTACATCCAGCCTTACTCTCAATAGTGAGACTCAAGGTAGCGAACAGCATATTTGAAGCCAGGATTAAGGTTACATCTGCTACACCTGTATCAACTCTGGCATCCAAGCGAGAGCCAATATGAGTGATTTTATCTGCAAAGTAGTTGGCAAATTCTTCAGTGGGCGTTTGCATGGTTCATGTTCTCTTTTGAGCCACATTGTAACAGATCCCATGCCACTTGAAACAGCTCCACTGAATAGTTGTGTGGATTCAAAAGCATAAGCCAGAAAAGGCTCAATTTTTTGCTATATTTATTACTGTACTTTAGCCCTTCAGATAAAATTTTACCAGTTTTTATATAAAAACTTTATACCAAGTTAATCTAGCCAATTACCTTCTCCAAAATTATATTAGCGAAAGGAAAAGTTACTATACGATGGGTCAAAGCAGAAAAACATGGGAGGCAAAATGGAAGGGTCACATTTACAGAATCATGGGGAAAGTTAAATATACGGTGTTAAATAAGACTATTCTCATGATTGAACAATTGTAATAAACACAGCAAAAGTATTTAACTGTTTCTGGGTGGCGGTGGGGGTGTATGGTGGTGGTGGGATTGGGGAAAATACTAGTATTTTGAATGTTAATTTCAAGGATGGTATGTTTCTATGTACTATACAATAAAAAATGTTAAATAAAAAAAAAGAGCCGCCGTTGTCCGTAGACACTTCCAAGGTCATGTGGCCAGCATGACTGCATAGGGTGCATAAATTACTCATTGTGTTTGGTTGTTTTGTTTTGTTTTTTTTCATTCCTGGCTCTTAAGGTGTTGTTTTCTCTGGTACTCAGATTGGCCATCTGTACAGTTAAGTATCTCGTATATGTTGATCAAAGCTGCTGTATGTGCATAGGATTGGGTTGCTGTCAATTTTCCGGGCTGTATGGCCATGTTCCAGAAGCATTCTCTCTTTTTAATACTGGTAGCCAGATTTTTGTTCTGTTGTCCAACCTGGACACAGCACATTATTTGAGAACACAGATATGCTGGACCACTCTTACAACCACCATGTCAGATTATACAAAGAAGCCATTGAAATCCATAAGCAGAAAGGAGGAAACCATGAAAATGAACAAAATCTGGCTACCAGTTTTTTAAAAAAATCTCTAAAATCAGGGCAGTAAATAAAGAGGAACACAGTGGCATTCCTGACATGAAACAGTCAGGGCCAGCTAACACCTCCCAACAAAGGATTCCCCCCAGGCAGGAAGCAGCCAGTCTTTCAAGCTGCAAAGTCTTTCAGTGCTAATCAAGTTGACCAACTGCAACATTCACACTTACCTCAAGCAGACACAAGTTCTTTCTCCCACCCTGGACATTCCACAGATATATAAACCTCACTTGCCTAGTTTCCAACAGCCCTCACAACCTCTGAGGATGCCTGCCATAGATGTGGGTGAAACGTCAGGAGAGATTGCTCCTGGAACATGGCCATACAGCCCAGAAAAACTCACAGCAACCCAGTGATTCTGGCCATGAATGCCTTTGACAACTCAATAAGGGTTGTGCATCAAAATCCAAGCACCCCTGACAGATGGCTATCCAAAAAGAGCAGGGAGCAAAACAGATAATTGATCTGCCCATGTTCGAATTCTTGTTAATGGGCATCTGTTAGATGCATTGTGGAGGCAGGTAGGAGGTGTGTTTATGTTGTGGGAGTGCATTACGAGATAGCCAGTGTTTTAAAATGAATAACATTTTTACAAATTTCACACAGGTAGTTGTGTGTGTATGTGTGTGTGCCTTCAACTGGCTCATCAACATATTGCAACCCCATTAATTTCACAGACTTTTCTGAGGCAGGGAATACTAAGAGGTGGGTTTTGCCAGGCCCCTCCTCAGAAATATAGCCTACAGCAACTTGTATTCATTGGAGGTCTTCTAACCAAGTACTAAGCAGGATGACCTTGCTTATCTTCCAAGACAATATCTGGTCCATTTAATCTTGTATCACCTTTTAGAGTAAACAAGTTATTTCAGCATACACTTTTAATCAACTGAATCCAAACTTGGGCAACATTGTGTTGTCAAAGGCTTTCATGACTGGAATCACTGTGAGTTTTCTGGGCTATATGGAAAACATTCCTTCTCATTTTAAGACAAGTCTCAGTTATATACCTGAGCAGTTGGGGTCAAAGATCTATGCTTAATCCAAGGCTCACCTACACTCACCACTTAGATCAGTTTCAAATCAGTATTGAAGAAAGCATTTCTTCGGGGAGATGGGGCGGGGTACAAATAAAATTTATTATTATATATTATTATTTCACTGTAAGGATGATGACATAGGAAATCCTGGAACTGGTTTGAGGCCTGGATTATGATTACCCAAGCTATAGAGGCTGGCCTTGAGCTGGTTCCAGAATCAGCAGTATCTGCAGCTTTCCCATCAGAAATGCACATGTGAACATCAACAGAGCATTTTGGGTGTCCACAGCATGATTCACATTATGTGGAGCCAGTTGCACTTGGCATTGTGGTTTACATTGGAGTATGGTGATGCTCAGTAAGAGCCTTATTTTGGACTTTCCCCCAATTTTGTTTGTATGGGATTATCTGATTTAAAGCACGCTACAGTGTGTATTTCTATCTTACATTGTCTAAATTTTGTGTTTGGAAGTTACATAAAATGGTCAATGTAGAGGGGACCCATATTTCCTGTTTTTACTACAGTGGTTTCAGTAAATGCAACTTCCATCGCAAGACAATTGATATGAAATCTGTGGTGATAGCAGCTGAGTACCTTTTCTGTGTGTGTCTTTCCAGGAAATGAAGTGATTGCAGTGGACTGGAAAGGGCTAAAAGATGGGGACCAAATCAACATGGACAGCACCAGTTCGCTTCATGGCAGCAGCATCCACAGACCCTCCAATGAGGTGAGCAACTGTTCTGTATTCACAGAGAGGTGAGAGATTAAGGCCCCTTCAACACAACTGAATAAAATCCCACAGCATCTGCTTTGAACTGGAATATATGGCAGTATGGACTCAAATAATCCGGTTCAAAGTAGATATTGTGGGATTTTCTGCCTTGATATTTTGTGTTGTATCGGTGTGATGAAGGGCCCCAAGGGTGAAGAATCAAGTATAGAGATGCTTCCATGGAAAAAAGAAGAGATCTTATTTGCATTATGGCCCTTGAATCCTACATTTTCAAAGCTGTCTTTCTTTTATTTTGGAACCTTTATCTAAGATTTCAGCAAACACTTGAAAGCCAAAATTTCAAAAAGAAAAAGAAAGACTATTTGAAACACCTCAGAAATGCTTCAAGTAAATCCCAATCCAAACAGTTTCTCCAGTGGGTTAGATAAGTGTTGATAGCACTAAGACCATTTATGTTTCCATTATAACTTTTCTGCCTTGATGCCTCCAGCAGGAGAAGATTCTACATTGCCCTATATCCCAGGATTTGATCACACATTATCTTCCTGATTATCTGGCAGTGAAAGCTCATATCATCCAGTTCAAAGCAGAATCTGGGGTCAGATGCTGAGATATATGGCAATGTAGATCCAGCCTTACTTTCAAGTTCCGGGTGGTTTGATTACCACGTGGTTCATTCTTAAAAGCACTCATGGATTACCTGAATTTCTGAGGCTGGATCTATACTACCATATAATCCAGATCTTCGAAGCAGATCATCCAAATTATCTGCTTTGAACTTGATTATGGGCCTTTCCAGACAGGCCATTATCCCAGGAGCACCCACATTTTAGAAACACGAATGTTCCTGGTGGCCTGTCCACACCCACCCCAGAAAGCATGCATTTTCTGGGGTGGGTATCCAGATGTTGTCACCTCCTGGCAGGGCCGTAGCCAGAAAAAAATTTCGGGGAGGGTTGACAATTTCCGGGGGGGGGGGGGGTTTGAAAATGGGGGGGTTGAAAATTTATTTCGCGGGGGGGGGTGTTGAAACCTGCCTCCTAGCTCACGCTGAAGCAAAGAGCACAGCAGGGGGCAGAGCAGCCTTCAATAGCCTGCAGCTCCGCCCCTGTCAACCACCTCCACCAAGTCTGGCCTCCTTAATGAGAGCATTCAACACACACACACCCAACTTGGTTGCTTCACTACATCGGCTATTGCTGCAAGTAATGACAGTGTGAATAAATTGTCAATATTTGCTTGAGATAGTGCTTGCAGTTCTGGAGGGACTCTTAATTTTTCGCATCTCATAGACTTAGCATGGGGATTTGGTTAACCAGTTAAAATTCATGAGTAAACCAGGTTTTTTAAAAAAATCTGAAACATTTCGGGGGGGGGGTTGAACCCCTAAAACCACCCCCTCGCTACAGGCCTGCCTCCTGGTCGTGTGGCTGGCAAAACTGCTTGGGGCATCTTTTTGCCTTTTCCCGCTGAAGCAGGACCTATTTATCTATTAGCATTTGCATGTTTTTGAACTGCTAGATTGGCAGGAGCTAGGACTAACAGCAGGAGCTCACCTCGTTGCATGGATTCAAACTGCCAACCTTCAGGTCAGCAGTTCAGTAGCACAAGGGTTTACCTATTGCGCCTCAACGTCCCAACCTTAAATTTCTTCCTGGGGTGTTTGGGTAGGTGCTGTACAACGAAGCCAGTTCAGTTTAAACTACTTCTAAATGTGTCACACTGCCCGAAGGTGTCATAATATTTAAAGGGTGGGTAAGGGAAAAAGAGAACTTGAAATCAAACTTAGGACTAACAAAATGAAGGATAGAGCCAGAATGGTGTAGTGGTTTGCATGTTGGATACTGGAAAATCCCTGCTTTGCCATGGAAATCTACTGAGTGACATTGAGCAAGTCATACAGACGAAGGTAAGGCGCAATTCTCTTCTGAACAAATTCTGGAAAGAAAACCATGTGACTGGTTCACCTTAAAGTCATCATAAGTCAGAAATTATTTGAAAGCAAACAAAAACAGCAACAGCTAAAGGAGCAAAAAGAGATATAAGAAGACAGAAGAAATGCAGGAGCTGGCATGAAAGCAGGAAAGAAGATGGCTGCTAGCCCTGAGCCACAGAAAACCCAATGTTATTCTATAATTCTGCATGCTCCTACTCTTACTTTTGTAAATAAGCATTTAATCTCATCAATCCATCTCCCTTGAATATACACCTGCTGGTGTAAGAGATCTGTTGTTAAGCCACAAAAGACTAAAGAGGCTTGAGCACAGTGGGGCTTGTATCCCATAAGGGTTTTTATTATGCACACTTCTTTCTTCTCTGTGTGTCTCCATTTCTCTCTTTCTTCCTTTGTCAATCTCTTTGTGACTGTGCTTTCCTTTCTTTATGTAACAGACTATGACTGTCTTGAGCAGATTCAACCATGGTCTTTCTCCTCCTATGCCCTTCTCACTTGGACTGATCTTGAGTTTATTTTCTTACATATAGTTAGCTGGTGGACCTAGTTAAATGGGTGAGCTGGTGGAGAGACAGACTCATGCCTTATAAGCAGAGTTGTATCACTGACTTGCTGTCTTCTTTCTCCATAGCAAACACGCACAGATTTCTCCTGGGATGGCATTAATGTAAGTATAGCCTTTATTCCCTGAAGTGTTCTGTCTGTATGGAATACTTGCTGCTGCTGAGTCTTGAAGTGAGTAGCAAGGCCTCACTATTCTGCTGGCACAATTTGGTTTATACTTCAGGGTGGATGTGTTCTTTTTCCTCATTAAATTCCTAAGGAAAGGTATAATGATTACCTGCATCTTTTTTCATGTCAGGAGCGACTTGAGAAACTGCAAGTCACTTCTGGTTTGAAAGAATTGGTTGTCTGCAAGGACGTTGCTCAGAGGATGCTCAGATGTTTTACCATCCTATGGGAGGCTTCTCTCATGTCCCTTCATAGGAAGCTGGAGCTGTCAGATGGGAGCTCACTCTGCTCACCGAATTTGAAAAAATCTGACATAAAAAAAGCCTTAATGTTTTCAGTGTGCTTTTAAGGTTTCAAGGATGCAACATGGTAGGACATTTCCATAGTAGATTAGTACCAAATTTGGCAAGTTGTCTTTAAAAATGACATTTGTTACTGTCATAGTTGAGGGTTTTTAAAACATATTTACTTTTTCATTTATCAAAAAGAAACAATTATTTTTAGTTAGTTTTAAAATTCAGTATTCTATAACGTACTGGCTTGTGCAAGACATATCTAAATTGTGATGCCCTGACACTATGGAAGTAAAACACATAATTAATCTAGAAAAGTAGGGAGGTTTTCCCTCACTATGTTACAGTTGTACTGTGGCTTATTTTTATTTACTTACTGCAAAGACAGAATTAATTCTGGGCATTTCAATATTTGTTAAGTAGCTGCTTCTAAGCTCTTGTGCAAGAGATAGGACAGGAAATTAACACAAGGTTGTGGTTGTCATGAATAGTAAAGGTAAAGGTTTCCCCTGACATTAAGTCTAATCGTGTCCAACTCTGGGAGGTGGTGCTCATCTCCCTTTCTAAGTCGAAGAGCCAGCGTTGTCTGTAGACATCTCCAAGATCATGTGGCCAGCATGACTGCATGGAGTACCGTTACCTTCCTGCAGAAGCAGCACCTATTGATCTACTCACGTTAGCATGTTTTTGAGCTGCTAGATTGGCAGAAGCTGGGACTAACAGCGGGAGCTCACCCCACTCCCCAGATTCGAACCATCAACATTTTGGTCAGCAAGTTCAGCAGCTCAGTGATTTAAACCGCTGCACCACTGGTGGTTCCCCAATGAATAGCCCATCATTTATGTAATTTATAGTACTATTTTCATGCTAAACTAATTCTGACAAAGTTAATTTTTAAAAAGATACTTTGGTTTTGGACACATACCAACTTCCTCTTTTAAAATACCTTTCTGACTTTGCTCCTTCTCTCTTCAGCCCTAACCTTTATCCAGACAGTAATCATTTTGTATTCTTGTTTCTCTCCTCTGTTTTGCCACTGTTCTTTATCGAGCTCTATTTAACCCCCTCATACATTTTTCAATGAATTGCTAGCCAAAAGCACACTTCACTGTAGCCCAGCATACACCAGTTATAACCAAAATACTTTGCTCCTTGCAGTAGAAAATCCAAAATGATGACAGTATGCCTATATAATTCCATCACATGAGCAAACCCTTATCTGAGGAAGCACCACTCCCCCCCCCCCCCCCCCCCCCCCCCGCAATCCACAGTTAGTTATTTTCTATCTTTATTTGTTCCTTCATCTTCCATTTTTTTCTTAATCCCTTGTATTCTTAGAAATTGAGATTGAATACCTCCTTCACTTCGTCTCATAACTGTTCATTCTTTCAGCTCTCCATGGAAGATACAACCTCCATCCTTCCTAAGCTCAAGCGAAACTCCAATGCATATGGGATTGGAGCACTTGCAAAGTCATCTTTCTCCGGTGAGGATCACAAACCCTTGGATCTCAGATCTTTCTAACCTTTTATTAATGTTGGTTTTATCCCCCAAATACATTTTTAAAATAAGTGTGTTGACTTCCATAACCATCCAGGCTTGAATTCATACATTCCTCAGATTCTCAAGTTGCTCTTGAGGCACAGAACTGTCTTCCTTTGTTTGTCACAGTATTTTATGGCAAAATTTGATGATGAAGCAAGTGATTGATGTGTAAAATGACTTTTTCAGAAAAACAAATGTAATGAGTTAAAACAACAACTAAGGTTGGATCTACAGTGTCAAATAACTCAGTTTGAAACTGCATTATATGATCAATGTAGACCAGTGGCTGTCAACCTTTGGATCCCCAGATGTTTTGGTCTACAACTCCCAGAAATCCCAGCCAGTTTACCAGCTGTTAGGATTTCTGGGAGTTGAAGGCTAAAACATCTGGGTATCCACAGGTTGAGAACCATTGGTTTACACTGACCATATTACTCTGTGGTTATATGGTCAGTGATTTGAAGGCCAAAACACCTGGGGACTGACAGGTTGAGAACCGCTGGTGTAGACTCATATAATGCCGTTAAACTGCATTATATGAGTTTACACTGACCACAGGTTCTCAGCCTGTGGGTCCTCAAATGTTTTGGCCTTCAACTCCCAGAAATTCTAACAGCTGGTAAACTGGCTGGGATTTCTGGGAGTTGTAGTCCAAAACACCTGGGGACCCATAGGTTGAGAACCACTGATATAATGCAGTTTCAAACTGCATTACAGGCAGTCCCTGAGTTACAAACATCTAACTTATAAATGAGTCATAGTTAAGAATGGGGGTGGGGCAGCAGGAAATTAGAGAAATATACCCCTCAGAAGGGAAATTTACTCCTGAAGAAGTTATCATGGGGAAAAGGTGTCTCCACAGAAGGTTTATCATTAATCCTTGTTTCTTCTACAAGCCATTTTTTTTTCAAAATGCAGTGATCACAGGATAGAAATCTTCTGAACAGGGGCACAGACAGCAAAACAAATGCAAAGCTATATATAAAAATTACACTTAAAAATGTGCCTGTTCCAACTTACGTATACATTCAACTTAAGAACAAACCTACAGAACCTATCTTGTTCCTAACATGGCGACTGCCTGTATATAGCAGTGTTGTTGGGGCCTTAGTTAGGGCTGTGTAGTAGTTTGAGTGTCGAACTAAAACTCTTGGGACCCATTCATACTAACAGTTTTAATGGTATATTCCACTTTAGCTGTCATGATAACATCCCATGGAATCCTGAGATCTGCAGTTTGAGAAGGGGCATTTGGACCTCTTAGCCAGAGAACCCCTTTGCTGCCTCATTAAACTAAAAATCTCAGGATTTCATAGATGGTTGTCATGGCAGTTACTAAAGATGTGTGATCCATTAAAATGGTTCAGAAGTCATTACAAAACTGGGGGGGCTGACATTTCCTTTCTAAAGTGTTTCTAAAGTATGGTTAGTGAAAAATGTGTTACTATAACAAGAGTAACTAAATTTAGTTACTATTTCGTTATAGTAATTGTGCATAAATTACTATAATTGGGGAAACTTCAGAGGCCCCTTTCTCCCTAATTTTTAAAGCTATTGGGGTGAAATTTGCTACAATTGTAGAACATAGTTACCGCTGTTAGTCCACCAAATTTCAGAATGTTTCACATCCGCAGATTTTGGGGGAAATTTCAAAGTTTTTATAAACAACATTTTTAAAAAACTACAAGAGCTATCTCCTTGAATTGTGTATACAATGACAGGAGATAACAAGGAATCATTCCCCCCAACTTTCAGAAAAATTCATACATCTACTGATTTTATGTATTTTTTAAAAAAAAGTTTTGACAAATTTTTAAAGACAACCTTTCTTTTAAGAGGGATAATGGATATAACTATCACTAGAATTAGTGGTAAATTCTTTTAGTGCCAAGTTAGAGGTTTGTAAGTTAGATTGTTTTATCTATACACACTGTCAAGCTCCTGTGTCATACTCCTGACTAAAGATCCAACCCAAAGTGCTCTTTACGTTAGGAGGGAAAGACTCATAGAATCCTCTGTCCTCAAAGCAAAGAGCAATTTCAGGATGGTTGTGGGCTGGTCCATGAGGTCACGAAGAGTCGGAGACGACTGAACGAATGAACAACAACGTGGACTACTGTTACCAAAAGCAAGACATGACAGAAAGAGCTCATCTCTTTCCCTGCCTTCTGTGACCCAGCTATTGCTCTTTCTTGCATGTTTAAATTGTTTACACACAACTAATACAATGTCTAGTTTGATCTTTAGCAATTAGCTGTTGAATGTAATTATAAATACCCATGATTATACTATCATTGCCATTAGTCCCTTGATATCCAGTTCATTTGGCTTCTCCAGTATCAATGACTGAATAGTCCACAATTAGATTAGAAGGTGGTGAGTGAGTATATTTGTGAGGCCTCTTCCACACAGCTAAATAAAATCCCACATTTTCTGCTTTGAACTGGGATATATGGCAGTGTGGACTCAGATAACCCAGTTCAAAGCAGATATTGTGAGTTATTCTGCCTTGATATTCTGGGTTATATGGCTGTGTTGAAGGGCCCTGAGACTGCATCCTTGGTGTTTTCCAACTCTTACATGGTTCTTTCATGTAAGGAGGGCAGGGGGGAGTGGGTCAAAATAGATCTGTCATTTGGATTATGTGGCCAACGGTTCTGGAGCTGTATAATAGCCCCTTCTTGTTTTCTCAATGTCTGGCGCCTTAGGGATATCTCGCAGCATGAAGGATCACGTCACCAAGCCCACTGCCATGGGTAGTGGTCGTGTTGCCCACATGATTGAATGGCAGGGCTGGGGACAAGGAGCTAGCCAGCAGCAGATCCACACCCATGAAACCGTACGGAAGGATGCTGATGCTTACTCTGACCTTAGTGATGGTGAAAAGGAGGCCCGATTCCTTGCAGGTACACTATAGCTTTTTAATGGTCCATCAGGATGTGTTTCTTGGTGGAACTGGAGGAGGGGAGGGGTTGGGTGGGAAAGAGAGCTGAGACTGTGTGGTTGGCTGACTCAGATTGACTCTTTTTAAAACACCATTTTTATTGGAGACACTGGATCTTTTTGAATGCATCTTCCTTCATTATTGCATGAATAGTTTGAGGAGGTTAAGGTTTTTTTTAGTGAGTCTGTAGTGCCTTTAAGCACCTGCTGAGCCCAGAAATTTGTGTTCAAAACTAGAACCACATTCAGAAATTATTTCATGTGAAGATCTACTTCTGACTTTCTTCTCAAGCATTTTCCCCACTATTTAGTAGGGCTTTGCAGTTGTTGGACTGTTGTGAACTTTGCAATTCACCCAGATGTGTATCAGAAGATCCTAGTTTTTAGCTCCCTCTGTTGGAAATGTGGAAAGGTTCAGCATCTCAACACAGGCCACACAGGAATATCATTTTCAAATGTCCCATCCATTTCTTAATTTTGTACGAGAGTGATGAGGAAATAAAATGTTTAGTTTTTGACCCCATGTTTTGAATGCATGTTCACATTCAAATTCTTCTGTTTTAGAGTATGAAACCAGTTTTAGAATATGAAACCAGTCCATGGACCACCAGTGGTTCACAAGAACTAAAATATGGTCCACTGCCTCACCATTACTACATGGTTGCAACAAGAGCAACTGGTCTTGCAAAGCTCTCTTATAGTGCAGAGGCTTATTAAATATGGTTTTATGTGGGCAAGAAGATGGTGACTACTGGATGGCATATATTCTGTATCTGAAACTAGAGCTGATGTGGTCTATCCAAGGCAATTTTCTGAATCAGCACCCCAAATCACCAAACTGAATCTAAAGTTGACCAAAACCTGATTCATAACCCTTTTGGTACTAATGCTGGAGAGTGGTCTCTGGTCAAAGTGGTCCCTGGTAAAAAAAAAAAAAAAGTTTGGGAACCACTGTTTTAAAATATGAAGTTCTATAGCCTGCCCAAAGCTATAGAAAAGTGAGCCAGATTGGCCAGAACTGTAATCACAAGGCGCTTGTATACTGACCCATTAAGCAGGCTCAATCTGGTATCCCAAGCGCCAGACAAGCCCGCTTTGTTGGAGATTGCGAATGTAAATAAGCTTTACCAGAGTTTCTGAGCCGAAATATACCCTGCAGTATAATAATGTGTCACTCAGATTTGTGTAACGAGTAACAGTAACTTTACTTCAGTACAAAATGTCAAACAGAGCAACAATATATACAGCAGTCTCTCTGAATTCTTACAGAGAACAGAGGGAATAAACAGTCCTTTTAAACAGTCTTTAAAATATGCTTCATGCCTTAGAAATGATCGGGCTTCAGAGAGTTGGCAGCCATTTTCTTCCTGGCTGTTTCCAGTCAGCACTCTCTTCAGTCCCTGAGGTGAAAGTGGCAGTTAAAACCATTTTTCTCAGCAGCAGGCAAGAGACAGTAGCCAATCAGAATTCTGTCTCCTGGCATGCTCAGCCAATTAGCTGCCGACACATGCCTTTCCAGTCAACCCATCACATCATGGTGCCTTTTTACAAATCCCCACACACTTCATAGTCTGACTGGAACTTGCTTATCCATCTTGAAGGCAGCAGGGAGTCCCCACTGGGCAGCCACACCTAAAACATTTGGGCACACTGGGCAGCCACCACAAATGTCACCCTTTTCCATATTTTGCAGTTGTTGCCATCCACAACATTTGCACCTACCTTACTCTTTGGGCACCTTGGCTGCCATCAGCCGGAGCAAATGTAGTAGGGCTATCTTGGGTGGAACAGCAACATCATGTGGGAAGGGGAGTGGAGGGGACTGCCATCCTTCGTCCTCATGCAACCTGAAATGGACCAATGGATGGCTGTCGAGACAGCTGCAGCCAGTTTCATTTGGGAACCAGCCTAGCTGTTAATACATACCCTAACTCAGGGGAGAACTCGTATCCTGGTGCAGAGTTCCGATTTCCATTCTAGAGTCCATTCTGTTATAGAGTCACACTGACTTAAGTGATCAATGTAGATGAGTCTACATTTCCTCTGGGACTTTCATGGTTTGGGTAGTGAGACAACCAAAAGGAGTGAAGCGGCAAAGATTATAGATATTAACACATGGTCGAGGAGATGTAGAAGAACTCTGTTCAGCCCATTGCTTTTGTTCTACTTTGCCTGTCATGCAGGGGTTATGGAACAGTTTGCCATCTCAGAAGCCACCCTCATGGCCTGGTCTTCCATGGATGGTGAGGATATGAGTGTTAACTCAACCCAGGAGAACCAAGCTGGGAACTACAATGACCAGGAGGTGGCAGATAACCAGGGTGAGAACCTACAAGGTGAGTAGTGTGCTTGTTGCTATTTTATTGATTTAATTGTTTTAATGTGTGCTTTCATTTATGTCTGTGTGTTTTAATTTTATGTGTATTTTAATTATATTATAATTGTCTGTATGCATATTTTACTATATGTGGAGGAATGTTCAGTACAATGAGCCCTTACTTATAGTGTGAAGCAATGGAGGAGGAGGAGGAAGATTAGATGAAGAGAAACTACTACCAGACTGCTGATTGGATAGTTGAGTGCTGATTGGCACTCGGGCCTAATTCGATCACATTAGGCCATATGGGGTTATCTTGAGGTTTTATATTTGTATTTATTGTTATAAAGGCATTGCATGTTTGCCTTTTTTATTGTTGGACTTTGCCCTGAGTTCCCCAGGGGAGATAGGGCAGAATATAAATAAAGTTGTTTATAATAATTATAATTATAATTATTATTATTATTACTATTACTATTTGATACATAACAAAATTAGTACATAGCAAACAAGATCACTATGTTGGCTATTCTATTTTATCACACGTCGGACACTTCCCAAGTATCTAGGACAGTGTGATGTATCGGCACATAATGTGTGCAGATCTGAGTAGGGAGGCCTTTTGCAGCTGACAGATGGTAATTTTGTTAGCGCTGATTGTTTTTAAGTGCAGGCCAAGGTCTTTAGGCACTGCACCCAGTGTGCTGATCACCACTAGGACCACCTTTACTGGCTTGTGCCAGAGTCTGCAGTTCAATAAATCCTCATATTGTGTCAGATATTTTGTTGTTGTTGTTGTTGTTGTTGTTGTTGTTGTTGTTGTCTGAAACATAACAAGATGAGTCCAAAGCAGACAAGATCACTCTGCTGGCTGTTGTATTGGATCACTTGTCGAGCACTTCCCAAGTGTCTAGGACTATGCAATGTATCGAAGAATAATGCATGCAGATCCCAGTAAGGTGGCCTTCTACAGATAGCAGATGGTAATTTTGTCAGTGCCCATTGTGTTTAAGTGCAGGCCAAGGTCTTTAGGCACTACACCCAGTGTGCTGATCACCACTGGGACCACCTTTACTGTCTTGTGCCAGAGTCTTTGCAGTTCGATCTTTAAATCCTCATATCATGTCAGCTTTTCCAGTTGTTTCTCTTCAATCCTGCTGTCACCTGGGATTGCAACATCGACATCATCATCATCATCATTTGCTAGACACTGCCTTCGTATTCACATTTCTTTCTTTCTTCCCTTCTCTTAACAGATCAAATGGCTCAAGCACAGTACGATAGCTGGCCTCACTCTTACGTCTCTCAAGGCATGTACTGCCTGGGTTCTTCTGAAGCCTGGGAGACCAGTGACCAGTCCCTCATTGCTTCTCCAGCTACTGGATCCTATCTTGGCCAGAACTTCGAAGACTCCCAATCCAGTTTGCAGGAAAATGTTCTTATCCAGAACAACCTTATCCAGCAGCACCAGTTGATGCAGCTGCAACAGCTGCAGCAACAGCAACTGCAGCAACAGCAGTTGCAGCAACAACAGCAGTTGCAGCAGCAGCAACAACAACAGCAGCATCTGCAACTGCAACACAACCAGCAACTGCAACAGGCCCTACTCCAAAATACAGGCCTTGTGGAGGTGTGGCCCACTCAGACAATTCCCAGTGGTGGCAATGGTGGCAGTGCTGAGTCCAGCACCTTTGTGGGCATTCACACAGAGGAGGAAGGGAATCCCTTGCTAGAGAAAGCCCCACTATTGAACAAGAAGCCTTCACCGGAGGAGGACGATGTTGTGTGCCGGGACTTGGAGTCCCTTTCACCCCGGGAAGAGCCTGAACCTGCTGCCCTCAGTCGCAAGGTCTCTGATGTTACATCTTCTGGGGTGCAATCTTTTGATGAGGAGGAAGGTGAAGCCAACAACTGATGCTGCCATTGAGGAATCTTTGTCCTTATGCATGGGAAACACAGGTGGGGGAAAGTGACAGGGAAGCCCCTCTTCAGCTCTGAAATCCCCAGGCTCACTAGCACACTTGTTTGTTTGTTTTAATGGAAGGGTAAGCCAAGGACCAAAAGTGCTGGACATTGCTAAGTCCCCTTCACCTCCTTCACCTACTGGGCTGAACCTTCAAGACCTTCTGCCTTGGACACTCAGGCACAGGGAGCTCAGGGAAGGAACATTGCTGACGATGGATACAGGTTTGCTAGTGGAAAGAAGATGGTTTGAGAGATACAGACATAGTCTTAATATGGCAGCTGAGAGTATGCTTTGGTTGGATATAAGGATCACAGAAGATATAACAGAAGTTTTACATTGTGACCATGCTGAAGGGGAATGATGAAAACATTTAGTTTTGTTGATAAACTTACACCAAAAGTGTCAGGCTCAAGCCTAACCATATAATCTGCTTATGAAAGTGAGGTTCTACCAGGAAGAAATCTCTATACTGGAGGCCTAGTGGGTGTAATATGGAGGCAGTGGTGCTGTGGAAACAGGCCATGCATAGGAACTAAAAGAAAGGGTTCATGGATTTTAACCATCCTACAATGGACAGAGCCGCTCTGTGAGTTCACTCCAGCACTTTTGCACTGATCACTGCAGAAACCTTCCTTGTGCACCCTGTTATCTCTGCCTGCCTGGGAGCTGAAGAGGGTTTTCCCCCTCTTTAATATTGGGCACTGCATGCAGGGTAGGGAAAAGGGAGGGGGGTCATCTGCTAAGTTTATATTTTATGCAGACATGGAATCCTCTCTTTCCAGTTGTGAATGGGAAAATCGAGCATGTGTGCCATTCGTATCTCAGTCTCCCAGTTTATATTAGGGCTTTTGTTGTCACAGGTTTCAAAATGTTTGCATTTTGATCAGTGGCTAACAGAGGAAATGGCCTTGTTGCCACCTAGTGTGGGGTAATGCTCCTTTCCTAGGATCACTGGATCCTCTGTCGTGCCAAAATGGGGATGAAGCAGAGGCTGTGAGAAGAGAATCTTTCTTCTCTATTTCTACTAATTCCTGTCTCCTCCATTAATTTGTCTTTCCTGTTCTGTAAATGTTTCTCAGGCCTCATATCAGTCAAAGGAAAAAAAAGGCGATATGTGAAACTAGGTTTTTATTTTTACAATGCGTTTTTCATCCTGTTTCTTTGGGAGGGGGATGAACATAACAACTTGGCTTGTGGGTTTTACACAACTTTAGATCAAAGTCGCTCCTGTCCCTTTCAATGTCTGTTTTGTCATGACAGCCAAAGCATACTTTTGTCAGTATAAAAACCATGTTAATCTCCTTTAAGTCCCCAGCCTTCAGTGGAAAATAAAATATGGGACAAAAAAATTGGTATGAAGCAGGACAATCTAAATGTGATCGGTTGTGAGCCAAGCAGCGATTGCTGACATTTAATAAGGACACACAACTGTCCAGTGACAAGGATAATCCAGTCTTCCCTTTCCTCTTGTTTGGACTGATTTCTCTGATTTAATTTGTTCACCTGATACTCAAGGTTGGTTTTCTGCCAGTATATTCTCTTGTGGGGTTCTTGGCTACAGGATTCAGGGAGAAACCCTTTTGCAACACTGCTCACTGCGATCTGGGGCCCGTCATCAACTTTGCATTCAGATGTCAGTCACTGAGGGAAAGGTAGTTGAGTCAGATACTTCTGCCCTTGGACTTCTGAAGAAGAGTAGATGGAGGTCTCTATCTAGTTCACAAATTTCAGAAGCCAAGGGGTTCCTGTCTTCCCTTTGTACTGCATTTTCCTAAGCAATGCTGTCTTACCAATGGCTCAGTGGTCAGGCAGAATGAATCACAGCAATGCATGGAAGAAAAGCCTCTTGTCAGCCTTCCTTGCCTCCATTCCCTTCCTCTTCCTGGCTCCTACATGGGGAGGCTGCTCCGTTTCCGAGCATCAGGAGCCAACCTCTCTTTCAAAAATATGTTTACATGCTACAGTGCCAACCTCTGAAGGCTGAGAGGGTTGGATATAGCACTGCTCTGAGGGTGAAACCTCATGTTCCTGCATTTATAATAATTGCTGCAGTCTGGCTGTCAATTGCGGGGGAATTCTGCCAGCAGTGGTGACGTGGAAACAAGAAAGCGCAGTGGCCTCCTCTCTGCAAGCAAGTCATGAATGAGATTGGAGTTACCCCAACATGATTGAATCTTCAAGAGGATCTGAAAGCTTTGAGATATATCCCCAATGTTGTGGTGGTTTTGGGTTGGAGATTCAGGCAGCCTGCTTCTTCTTTCCTCCAAACCATTATGCTCCACGTGCCTATCCAGGACCAGGACTAAACCTGGATGTTTACGGTCAATCTCTTTCAGTGTAAATGTATCCTGCTTTTCATCTTGGCCCTCACTGGACTTGACACATGTGGCTCAACTTGTTTAGGTCTGTTCTATTATTGCCTCTTTTTTTAAAAAAATGCAAGCATCATATATGTTTGATGATATCAAGTTCAGGAGAGGGATATTTTTCTCTGTCTGGGAGATACTAAAGAGGGACATACTGCATGGAAAATAGTAAAGAAACACCAGGAGAGAGAATGAGGCTAATGCTGTTTAGAAGGGGGAATGAATGCTACAATCATAACTCCACTGTAGAATTCTATAATATATTACCAAAAAAGAAAGATTATATTATTTATTAAACTGTATAGTTCCTGGTAAATTTCTCAATAAACATCAATGTTTCAGGTCAGCTAAATTCTATTTAACTTATATTTTTCCAAGGAGCTCCTGGTGATGCACTGGGTTAAAGCGCTGAGCTGCTGAACTTGTTGACCAAAAGGTCACAGATTTGAATCCAGGGAGTGGCATGAGCTCCCGCTGTTAGCCCCAGCTTTTGCCAACCTAGCAGTTTGAAAACATGCAAATACGAGTAGATCAATATGTACCACTCCGGTAGAAAGGTAACAGCGTTCCATGAAGTCATGCTGGCCACATGACCTTGGACGTGTTTACGAACAATGCTGTCTCTTCAGCTTAGAAATGAGCACCAACCCCCAGAGTCAGACACGACTGGGCTTAATGTCAGGGGAAAACCTTTACTACCTTTACCTTATTTTTTTTCCAAAAGGATTTTTCCTTTATTCATTTTACATCTTTCCCATTATCCACTTCATTTAAAGATGGTGGTGATTTGGTTACCAAATAACTATGAGTAGAGAGGTGAGATTCCTCAGTATGTACCTGGACTCAAAGTACAAGTTTTTCTTAATTTTAGGTATTTCTTGGAGTTGCATTCCAACCTCTTATGGTGTGAGAGACTCACTGCACTGAGACAAATTCTAGAGTAGCTACATTGGTCTCTTCTAGCAAAAATGAGTCTCTTGATGACTTAAACTGCATACATTGTGGCGTATGCTGCTGTACAAGCACAATTGAAATGAACAGGAGCAGCTCAGAAGTGATTCCTGGCAGATTTGCACAATATGAATTCTGGTGGATTTGCACAATCGTCATCTTCACCATCAATATCATCATCACCTGAATTACTGTTCTCAGTTCAGTTTATACACGTTACAGGGACATACTCATGTCTTTGAGCATACGTTGTGACCAATAAAGTGAAGTTGCCAGCGTTGTGTATTCTGAGCATGGAAGGGATGGAGCAGAGGGCTGCACACAGTCTCTCACTAGATTCCTCTACCCCACCCCCCACCCCGGATCTTTTCCTCATAGTGGGATGTATTTCTAGTCTGGGATTCAGTGTGGGAAAAGCCTGAGTTTCCCCAGTAAGCACCAGTTTATCCAGCTGGAAATTGCTGCACCACCAGTTGGTTGCCTGACCATATTTGAAAACTCCACTCCTGGGCTCACTTGTAATCCAATCCACAAAATGTTTAGAAAGAGGTGGAGATCCTGGCCTTTTACTTCAGGACTTAGGCAGCTCTCCAGAAGTTGTTGGACTTGAGCTACCAGCATTCATCACTATTTGCTGGGCTACATAAGGCCAGCATCCTGTTAATTACATGCAAGTGTTGGTTGTATTGAGCACGCACAGTATTTTTAGTAGACAATAGTAGTATCTAGCTGATGGAAAGGAAGGCTTCTGCATATAGAACATGTATTTATGTGTATTTGAGGGGTGGGAGGTGTGCTGTATGTAATTCCCAGTGGGCTCCAATGGGCTTATTCCATAACAGAGCCTGAAGCCTTACTGCAGATCAGGTCCAGGTCCCATGCCATTGTGGACTGCATTATGCCTTGCAGTTGCATCACAGCATATCCATGTGCATTGAGCAGAGATCCACCCACTTCTTATTGCCATTATATAGAGGCCCCCTGGTGGCACAGCGGGTTAAAGCACTGAGCTGCTGAATTTGCGAACTGAACGGTTGGTGGTTCGAATCCAGGGAGAAGGATGAGCTCCCACTGTTAGTGCCAGCTTCTGTTGTTCGAAAACATGCAAATATGAGTAAATCAATAGGTACCGCTTCTGTGGGAAGGTAACGATGCTCCATGCAGTCATGCCAGCTACATGACCTTGGAGGTGTCTACGGACAACACCAGCTCTTCGGCTTAGCAATGGAGATGAGCACCAACCCCCAGAGTCAGACATGACTAGACTTAATGTCAGGGGAAACCTTTACCTATATTATTATATTTATTTGTATCCTGCTTTCCTCTCTTAAAGGAAACTCGAAGTGGCTTTGCAGTGGTTTCCAGTATAGGGGTTCCATGGTGCAAGTGGAATGTAACTTTGCTGGCAGTTACTTATGCTGTAGCCATGTAGGATCCCAGCCGATGTCTGCTGAGAGTAACATTTCAACAACACTGGAAAGTCTGCATGCTTCCCACCTGTTTACTCACTTGATGAAACAACCATCTAGGACAGCAGTTGCCATGTTTATTGATGCTTACTAATGTGAATTTAAAAGTGTGCATGTACAGTGAAGATTTTGTATTTTGCTGTGGTACCTGAAGGCAGTGTACGTACATCAGATGTGTATTGTGCATGCACTTGCTTTTTATTGTTTGGTCTCTTATAATAAGCAATGAGACTACTTGACTCTCCAGTGCCATCTAAAACCACACTGTTAAAATATGTGGCTCAGCATGTTGGTAAACATACCTTATATCCCATGTTGCTTCCCATATTGCTGTAGACGTTTAAGTAGTGAATGGTAAGCATCATGAATGGCTTTTAGCGTGTGGGTTTACATCATGTGTGAGATGTAGTGTGAGGTTTTGTGACCATGTGCCTGAAAGCTTTGATCTCTTTTGCATGTGGGGAGAGGAGGTATCCTTAAAATACAGTGTTCCCTCACTTATCGCGGGGGTTCCGTTCCAGTGAAAATTCGCGAAGTAGGGATGCCATATTAATTTTAATATTTATATATTATTTTATATATTTTATATATTATTTTTTACCCGTGCTTCCTTACCCACCTCCTGACCCATACCAAGAGCAGTTGCCTGCCTCCCTGACCTCTACAGAGCCTCTGGAGCCACGCAAGCAGCAGGCAGGCCAGGGAGGCAGGCCTTCCCCATCGTGCGTCTGGCCACCGCAATTCCAGGGTCTGTGGAGGCCAGAGAGGCAGGCCTTCCCTGCCGTGCCTCAAGCCACTGCACTTTCGGCGTTCCTGCCCTCCCTGGCATCCATTGGACATAAATATTTAATATTTAATATTTTTATTATTATTTACAATAACCCGCAAAACAGTGAATCCACTAAAAGCGAACCACGAAGTAGCGAGGGAACACTGTACATAGATTTAGCAATCAGTAATTTGGAATGAAGTGAGGTCTGGCCCAGTGCTTTCCCTGTATCTATCTTTTGAACCAGTGTTAAACCCACTGCTGCCACTTATTGGCCCCTTTGCAGGAATGCAGCAGTCCTGTCAGATGGAGCATAGTGAAAAAAGGACAAGATTCTGCATAACTGGATAATTTGTTCTCTTGCAATATATGGCTGCATAGATGTTAACTGCCTTTATTCCATGGGGTTTGGGGGAGAGTTTTGTAAAATTCATCAAATTGGTCGTAAAAGCATTACCAAAGGATTGTAGCAGGACGTCTCCATCAAATGTTTGCCATAAAGAGTTGTGCCAGCTTCAGGTTCTTGGCCCGAGGCAAGAGAATTACAGTTCCCCAAAGCCAAACTGAGGGGAGATGCATTGCTGACAGATCACGCCAAATCTCTGAAGGGTAGCCAGAGGCTGAATGAAAGCAGAGTTGTGGGGGTTTTTTTTGTTTTGTTTTATTTTTTATAGTAACTCCTAAGGAAAATTATATATTTCTGATGTTCATATTTGAGGGCCAAATTAAATGTGATGTGACTTTGCATCTGTATCATTTATGTGGAGGCTTGGATCAGACTGGTAATGGAGGAGACGCTTAACTATTTCATTGTGGGTTGTTGTAGGTTTTTTCGGGCTATATGGCCATGTTCTAGAGGCATTCTCTCCTGACATTTCACCTGCATCTATGGCAAGCATCCTCAGAGGTAGTGAGGTCATAGATGCAGGCGAAACGTCAGAAGAGAATGCCTCTAGAACATGGCCATATAGCCTGAAAAAACCTACAACAACCCAGTGATTATGGCCATGAAAGCCTTCGACAATACATATTTCATTGTGATTCATTTGGGGGATCAAATTCCTTTTTGGATCCAATCTGGAGGAGCGGGTGTTAAGATGCCTAATTCCATACATACATATATACATTTATATATATATAAATCCCCATATATCTGTTTCTTGGGGAGGAGAAAAGAGAATGAATAAGGTGAACATCCTCCTTCCAAGAAAGCTTTGAACCCTCTCCGACTGCATTAAATACATTGTATGCGCCTCCTCCCTCATTTTGCCTGAATGCATGGCCTCCATTATTCAAGATTTTCTATTTCTTATCTATCAATCATTGGTGCCACATATATCTTCCTAGCTTAAGCAATGATAATCAAGGTGTACAATATGCAGCTGCTATGGGCAAGCACACCCGAGGGAAAAACTTGAATGCCAAGTAAGTAAGTACATAGAATGGATTGCTGTGAGTTTTCCACGCTGTCTGGCCATGTTCCCGAAACATTCTCTCCTGAAGTTTCCCCCACATCTATGGCTGGCATCCTCAGAGGTTGAGAGGTCTGTTGGAAACTAGGAAAATGGGGTTTATATATATGTGGAATGTCCAGGGTGGGAGAAAGACTGCTTGAGGCAAGAAACTATTTACTGTTTCAGGTCATTGGTTGTTTGCATGATGGTTGTTTTTATACTGTGTTATGTTGTTGTTTTATATTGTTTTAGGATGTTGTCTATTTAACTATGTAGGAGCCCCCAATGGCACAGTGGGTTAAACCATTGAGCTGCTGAACTTGCTGATTGAATGGTTGCAAGTTCGAATCCGGGGAGTGGCATGAGCTCCCGCTGTTAGCCCCAGCTTCTGCCAACCTAGCAGTTCGAAAACATACAAATGTGAGAAGATCAATAAGTACCACTCCAGTGGGAAGGTAACGGTGCTCCATGCAGTCATGCCAACCACATGACCTTGGAGGTGTCGACAGAGAATGCCGACTCTGGCTTAGAAATGGAGATGAGCACCAATCCCCAGAGTCAGACACGATTGGACTTAACATCAGGGGAAAATCTTTACCTTTACCTGATATTTTATCTATGTTGATTGGGCTTGTCCCCATATAAGCTGTTTCGAGTGCCTTCAGGGTGATTGAGGTGGGATACAAAAATAAAGTTATTACTA